TCCTGGACAGAGCCCTCTCCTCTTGCTGCACCTTTCCAAGGGAGGATCCTTTCCTCCCTCGGCTCAGAAGGGGTTCAGGTCTCCCACAGCCCAGCCGCTCCAGGCAACACCAGCTCTACCCACTTTCTGCATTTTTTCATTTCTCCTTTTTTGCCCTGTTTTTCTCAGGTATTTTGGAAGACAGAAAAATTCAGAGCGAGGTCTGGGCCAGCTGGTATGCAGAAGGCCAAGGCAAGCACTTCTTGGGCATCTTTACCAAGGTTTCTGAGCCAGCTCTGCTCTCACCCACAAGTAGGAAAGGAAGGTATGTGGGGAGTTTGCTAGCCATAAAATACACTGGTCTCTCCTGCATGTACCCTGCATGAGCCTCTCCCTCCCTTACCACCTCATCTCGCCCAAGACTGTGTTTCACGCTGGGAACTCCTGGGGGCAGTCGCGCTGTCTGTCTGCAAAGCGTTCACCCACAGTGCTGTGGGGTAGATGGCAGCATGAAACCAGGAGAGGCTGGAGTGAGGGGCCAGACCCCAGCCAGCTATCACTAGCCAGAGCGACCTACACGGCATCTTCCAGCATCACCAGGTCAGACAGCACCAAGCTGCCACCATCAGTCAGAGTAGAACCCCATAACCGGGGCCTCCTTACCCAGCAGGGCTGTGCAGAGCTCTGTGTCGATGCGCCCATCCTCAGTCAGGGCCCCAAACACCAGCCCATCGGCCCCATGCAGCTTGGCTAGGCGGGTATCAGCCTTCATCACTTCCAACTCCCGGTCGGAGTAGAGGAAATCTCCCCCACGAGGGCGGATCATCACAAACACTGGGACCCGCACACACTGCTTCACCACCTGCAGGAGCCCTGCTGGGACAGACAGAGACAGCTCAGCCTGGGGACAAGCAGGGCAGACACCCACCCTCCCCGCTACAGAGGGCTCCCAGCCCACACTTCTGTCCAGCAGGAGAGCCTCACCTGGGGTTCAGAGATGGGAAGGGACCTTTGATCCCCAGTACCCTGGAGCATGGGAGTTAGGCAGGAATCCCTGAGCCTCCTGTCAGGAGGGCAGAGGAGAATGAAGGAGAGCAGGAGTGAAGAGCTAGGTGGATGGAAGTGTGGTGCTGAAGGGATGGGGATGCAACTTCCACGGCTGGGCCAGCTGAAGAGCTGGGAGGCTCCCTGCCAAATCCAGGACACATGGGGCCTGCTCCCTGCACTGAGGCCCTGGAGGGTAGAGCAGCCACTGAACTCCATGGACACTGGCAAAATTTGGGCACACTGGACAGGAGGCTTCAGAGAATGCACAAATTTGCTCTGATCTCAGAGCAGCCGCAGCCTGAGTCTTCCTGCAGGACTGGCCCTGGTCCCACTGAATGCTGCCCCAGTACGTATTCCATTGGTGCAGTTGCAGGGCAGTAGTCCTGATGTCCCTCTATGAGCAAGATGCCCTGGGGCACTCACCCATACTGGGCGTGGTTCCTCCTTCCATCAGGCCAGCACACAGCTCGATCCGGCCAGCACCTGGGACAAGAGACCGAGTAATAGTCGGTAAGTTAGGGGCACAAACCATCTCTCTGGACTCCTGAGAAGGCCACATGGACCAAGGAGGGGAACTGGGGCTTATGGAAAAGGGCCACTGAGAAACAGAAAATCGGACCTACAGCCTGAAGAGTCAGGACACTAGAACAACAGGCCCCTGCCCTCCCATCAGGGTGATATGCCTGGAGGCCAGAGCATTGTGCCAAAGGGGAGAGTCACCTGCCCCGCTCTCGGCCTCACACCACCTGTGACAGGATTCCCTGGGATGCAGCCTGGGACTGTGGGACCGCTGTGCCCCTCTGACTCTCCCCAGCCTGGGCTGTCTCTCACAATGCCTTGCTAGTGATCAACAGCAAACCCCTCCAGGTGCTGTTATCACTCAGCACAAACGCATGTGGAGCCCCACACCCAGCTGTATTGTATGAATGCTGCCAGAGCCAATCATGAATCACACAGAGAAAGACACCGGCCGAATCCCCCTGCAGCTCCCAGCACTGTGCCTCAGGAATATACCATCTTGCACTGCTCAAGAGAGCAGTGCAAATTTATTAGTTGGTTCACCACTTCATCAATGGAAAGTGGACATACACCAGCCTTTGCAAATCAGCAGATTTGCCACACACTTCAGGCAAACTCACTAGAAAACATAAACAGTTAAATTTATTGACTACAAAAGATAGATTGTAAGTAACTATAAGTGTTAGGCAAAGAGTAAGAGTTAGTTACCAAAAGAAATAAAATCTAAGCAGGCAGTCTACACTCTCAACCCGATTAGACTGGGCAACAACTAGACTAAGCAGTTTTTCTCAACCCACTGGGTATTGCAGTCCTTAATATACAGATTTGTCCCTTAAATCTGGGCCAGTCTCCTCTGTTGGAGTCTTCAGTCTTCTTCTCAGGGTATGTCTACAGTGGCAGAGTTACAGCGCCGCTCAGAGAGCGCTGAATGGAAATCGCTGTTGTGTGTTCACACTGTCAGCTGCCTGCGCAATAGTGTGTTCACACTTGCGGCACTTGCAGCGGTATTCGGAGCGGTGCCCTCTGGGTAGCTATCCCACAGAGCATCTCTTCCTCTTCTGCCGCTAAGAGTTGTGGGAAGGCGGAGGGAGTTGCGGGGCATCCTGCGTCCTGTCCCAATAGGGTGACCGGATGTCCTGATTCTATAGGGACAGTCCTGATTTTTGGGTCTTTTTCTTATATAGGCTCCTATTACCCCCCCACCCCCTGTCCCAAATGTTCACATTTGCTGTCTGGTCACCCTATGTTCCATTGCCCTCTGATGCATTGCTTCGCATCCCAGCAATCCCTGTGCTTCCGTCCGCATTTGGCACCATCTTTCAATGGTTTGTGTACTGCGCGCTCTGCCTCTTCGGTCTGCAGGAATGGATTCCACACTGTTGACCAATATTCTGCTTGCTCTGACTAACACGTCACGAGTGGCAGTGGTGTACAAAGGCAAGAAGAGTGCGACATTGATCTTGCCACGTGTAGTAGCTACAACACGAGATTGCTTGTGGCATTCACGGAGGTGCTGACCACGGTGGAACGCCATTTTTGGGCCCAGGAAACAAGCACTGAGTGGTGGGATCACATTGTTATGCACGTCTGGGATAACAAGTAGTGGCTGCAGAACTTTCGGATGAGGAAAGCACATTCATGGGACTGTGTAATGAGCTCACCCCAGCCCTGCGGTGCAAGGACACGAGAATGAGAGCTACCATGTTGTTGGAGAAGCATGTAGTGATTGCACTGTGGAAGCTGGGTACTCCAGACTGCTACTAATCGGTCGCTAACCAGTTTGGAGTGGGAAAGTCGACCATTGGACTCATGTTGACAGACGTGTGCAGGGCCATTAATCATATCCTGCTCTAGACAATGTGCATAATATTGTGGATGGCTTTGCACAAATGGGCTTCCCTAACTGCAGAGGGGCGATAGATGGCACGCATATTCCAATTCTGGCACCAGACCACCTAGACACTGCGTATATTAATCGGAAGGGGTATTTCTCAATGGTTCTCCAGGCACTTGTGGATCACTGTGGGCATTTCACGGACATTAACACAGGATGGTCCGGAAAGGTGCATGACGCACGCATCTTTCGGAACACTGGCCTGTTCAGGAAGCTGCAAGCAGGGACTTTCTTCCCTGACCAGAAGATCACCGTAGGGGAAGTCGAAATGCCCATTGTGATCCTGGGAGACCCTGCCTACCCCTTAGTGCCGTGGCTTATGTAGCCATACACAGGGCACCTTGACAGCAGCAAGGAGCTGTTCAACAACAGGCTGAGCAAGTGCAGAATGGTTGTTGTGTGTGCTTTTGGCCATTAAAGGCCTGCTGGCGCTGCCTATATGGAAGGCTGGACCTGGCCGATGACAATATTCCTGTGCTTATAGCCGCATGCTGTATGCTCCATAATATTTGTGAAGGGAAGGGTGAAAGCTTTACTCAGGGCTGGACCGCTGAGGCTCAGCGCCTGGAGGCTGAATTTGAACAACCAGAGACCAGGGCTATTAGAGGGGCGCAGTGCGGGGCCATAAGAATCAGGGATGCCTTGAGGCAGCAATTTGAAGGAGAAAGCCATTAATATTTGTTGCTATGCTTTGGAGTGCAGTGCTTGTAATGCTAGGAAGGGATTGTGATTGGTGCAGATGATGCACTACGGTGTAAGAAAATTGCCTGTTGCTTTGCAGGGCTCTGTTTGCTTTCAATTAATGGAATAAAGATTGCTTTCAAACCCAAACAATTCTTTTATTAAAAAACAACAACAGGAGAAGAGAGACAAACAAAAAAACACATCAGCACTGAGGAGGATGGGGGAAGGGAGGGTCCCAGGAGGAGGTGGTGTCCCGGGACGGTTAAAGATTTGTGTATGTCCAGGTATCATATCCAACCTTCTCCTTTGGAGTACAGTGCAGCGGGTACTGTACTTCGGCAGGGCTAAACTGCAGAGGGACGGGTGTTGAGTGCAGTGGGTACTGGGAGTCCACAGGGCTGAACTGTGACAGGGAAGGAGTGGAATGCAGCAGGTACAGACTGGAGCCAGGAGGTTGATAAGAGTATGTTGGCGGTGTCTGGGGGGCACATGGGAAAGAGTTTTGCGACAGCGGCTGCAGGGGAGGGTGGGCGCGGAGCTGCTTGGTTTGCAGTGCTAGTAGCACCTGGAGCGTGTCCACTTGGTGCTCCATAATGTTTAAGAGCTGACCCGTGGCTTCGTTCTGGCGTGCTGCGTTCTCCTTTCGGTCCCTCTTCTTGCTGTCCCTCCACTCCTTCAATTCCTGTTTCTCAGCGGCGGAGTGCATCATGACATCACGCAGAAAGTCCTCTTTAGTTCTTTGTGGCCACTTTCTAATTCTGTGCAGCCGTTCAGCCGGCGATAACAAGAGGGAGGCTGGGCTCCCAAAGTCATATCTGTGAAGCCAAAATGAAACATTTTTCAGAAGCAGTATTGTTTGCAACACACAGACCACTGATTCAGTGATTTAAAACACAGCCACTATTCACATACCTGTCACTAACTGGCTGACCCCAGGCAAGCACACATGAGTCACAAGACCCCCAAAATGGTGAGTAGCCGCAGGGGCAGGGTAAATCACTGTTCCCGGACCCTGCTGTACACTGGGCACGTGGCTCTTGGGGAGAGCCATCACTGTAGGGGGGGGGGCCTTATAATCATTCCTGTCCCCAGATTTTCCACAGGCTGTGATCATTATGGAAGATATCTCGCTGCTGAGGGTGAGCAGGGACTCAAGGGAGGGTCTTCTCCAAGACTGCAGCTTCCGTCCTGGCCATTATGCGGCTCGCCTGTGTGCAGCAATGGTGTCCCCGTCCCGTTCCTCCCCCCTCCCCCCGTCCCGTTCCAGTGATGGCAGAGTGGTACAGGAAATTTACCCTTAATGGGGCAAAAAACAAAGCAGCTCTGCCAAAGAACCTGCGGCAGCTGATTGCCCAGTATCTCCATGAGAGTTTCCTGGAGATCTCTGAGACAGATTCCCGTGAAGTGAGGGAGTCAATCAACACCCTGTTCCGCCGCTCATCGTACATCATACGCTCATCATGGTACATGCATCATACAGACACAAGCCTGCTTTCTGTAACCCTCCTGCCCCCAACAACTCGCTTCAGCAATTCTCAAAATTGAAGCCACTTACCAGGGGCCTCGTCTCCTGTTTGCGCTTCACCAAGCTCCAACAGCTGTGACTGGCTAGGCTCCTCCAGGGTAGAGAAGAGCTCTGGGCTGCATGCATCACTGATCTCTGAGTCGTCTTCTGCCTCTGGGTCCCCCTCCACATCCTTATCCAAGATTTCCTCCTCCTGGTTCGGTCCACTCTCGACTGGCACATGAGCCACCGAAGTATCCACAGTGGTCTTTGCAGTGGAGGTGGGGTCACCACCGAGTATTGCGTCCAGCTCTTTGTAGAACTGGCAGCTCGTGGGCACAGCACCAGAGCGGTGGTTTGCCTCCCGTGTCTTGTGGTAGGCGTTCCACAGCTCCTTCACTTTGACCCTGCACTGCAGTGTGTCCCGGTCATGGCCCCTTTCTGTCATGCATTGTGAAATCTGTCCGTAGGTATCATAATTCCTACGGCTGGAGCGCAGCTGGGACTGGACGGCCTCCTCTCCCCAAATGCTGATAAGGTCCAGCAGCTCAGCATTGCTCCAAGTGGGGATCGCCTGGTGCGTGGAGCAGGCATGGTCACCTGGAAAGATGCGCTGAGACCACTCCATGCGCCACCAAGCAAACAGGAAGGGGACTTTCAAAATTCCCAAGGAATTTACGGGGTGGGGATGACGGTTGGTCACCAGAAGGCAGGGCAGTAGAGTTCAAACCGATGATCAGAGAGGCGAGAACAGGCATTGTGGGACACCTCCCGGAGGCCAATCGCAGTGCTGTAATCGACTAGGGGGTCTACACTGGGACCGTGGTGCTGTACCCCCGGCGCAGAAAGCTGTATGTCTCTCGTCGGGCTGGGTTTCTTACAGCGCTGATACTGTGCAGTTTCTGTGCACTAAATGGCTTGGCAGTGTGTACACCTCGGGAGTTACAATGCAGAAAGCTGCTTTACTGCGCAGAAACTTGCCAGAGTCTTTGTTGCTTGCAGCATAGGTGGGGCCAGGAGAAAAGACGAAACATGGGCCTGCTCTGTTCTGTTCTATACCCTCAGTCCCATGTGCTTGGGGAACACACAAGTCCAGGCATGTCTGAGGGGCGGGCATTGCTGAGTCTCCAGGCAAGGTTGAGCAATTCCCCTGGTGTGGCCTCATGCAAGTGAGTCATTGAACTGTAGCTCCCTTGCTGGACAATGGCTGTTGATGGGTTGTTTGACACCCTGCCCGGGCGTTGGTTACTTTCCTTGCTGTTGTCTCTGGGGAGCTAATATCTGGCTGATACCCCCAACTTACAGCATGTTTTACTGACAACCATACAACACAATTCTCATAACTTCATATGCATTAATGATATACATATATGGATAGAACAATGACTTTCAGCAGATCATAACCTTTCCCGACACCTCACAAGGCCTGCTTTATATGCAAGATCACAATTACATGTAAACGAGGAATATGGGAGTTACAGGGCGCTTCCCCAAGGTACAGAATGTCACACCACCACCTAGCACTGTGCTTGGACCTTGGTCATTGTCTCTTGGAGATCTTGTATCTAAGTATTGGGCCAGCCCTGGTTAGCTTGTGAGGGCTGATGCACACATTGACTGACATGCCTTAGCTGCAGATTTCTAGTAGTAAACATTCATAAATTCTAAGGCTAATCTGACCTTCTGTATCACACAGAAGTTCCCGGAAATAATTCCTGTTTGAACTAGAGCAGAGCTTTAAAAAAAACATCCAGTCTTGATTTTAAAATGGCCAGTGATGGAGAATCCAGTCTGGATTTGTCTAGATCCAGATCCAATCTGGATTTGTTTAGCTTCACCTTCCAGCCATTGGATCGTGTCATACCTTTGTCTGCTAGCTTGAAGGGCCCATTATTAAATATTTGTTTCCCAAGTAGATACCTATAGACTGTGATCAAGTCACCCCTTCACCTTCTCTTTGTTAAGCTAAACAGATTCAGCTTCTTGTGTCTGTCACTATCAGGCAGGTTTTCTAATCCTTTAATCATTCTTGTGTCTATTCTCTGAACCATCTCCAATTTATAAACATCCTTCTTGCGTTGTGGGCACCAGAACTGGACACACTATCCCATGCTCTATGTCCGCTCCATACAGCTATATTAGACTGTGAGCTCCTTGGGGCAGGAACCGTGTCTTTCTCGATGGTCTGTATAATAAAGCTGAGGTCCCTGAGTGCTCAGCTGATAACACTGAGAATCCCTCTTTCAGGAGAAGCCTCGGCACCATACAGGCTGTTGCATTCTACCCCTGCCAGGTTTTATTACACTGAGGACAGGTCAAGTCCCAGCTGTTCCTCTCTTCCTTACCTCCTCTCTCTGCATTCACAGCAGACTCCACGGAGTCAACGCACACTTCCATGAGAAAGCCATCACCCATTCCTAGGAAGGAAACACAGGAGCAGTCAAGGAGGCAGCCCAGTCCAGTCACAGCTTAGGGGTAGGGTTTGGCTCAGGGATTCTCTCAGCTCCAGCCCTGGAAACCAGTCCTCCCCTCTTCAGTCTCCTGCCCCATGTGGGGTTTCCAGTTGGCCCAACCTGATCCCTCTCCTGATCTCCTACTGCGTCCAGTCTCCAGACCCTTCTCACATCCACATTTCCCATCTCGAACATACACTCCTGGTTGGGCTCTGACCACACCTGCCTGCAGCTATTTTTGGTCCTGAATCCCCACTTTGTAATGTCAAAGAACGGCCATACTGGCTCAGACCAATGGTCCATCTAGCCCAGTATCCTGTCTTCTGACCAGGTGCTTCAGAGGGAACAAACAGAACAGGGCAATTATCAAGTGATCTATCCCCTCTCGTCTAGTCCCAGCTTCTGCCAGTTGGAAGTTTAAGGACACCCAGAGCATGGAGTTGTATCCTTGACCATTTTGGCTAATAGCCAGTGATGGACCTATCCTCCATGAATTTATATAATTCTTTTTTGAACCCACTTATTCTTTTGGCCTTCACAATATCCCATAGCAACCAATTCCAAACGTTGACTGTGCATTGTGTGAAGAAATACTTCCTTTTGTTTAAACCTGCTGCCTATTAATTTCATCAGCTGACATCTAGTTCTTGTATTATGTGATGGGGTAAATAACACTTCCCTATTCACCTTCTCCACACCAGTCATGATTTTATAGACTTCTATCATATTCCCCCTTAGTCGTCTCTTTTCTCAGATGAACAGTATCAGTCTTTTTTAATTTCTCCTCGTACAGAAGCTGTTCCATACCCTTAATCATTTTTTCTTGCCTTTCTCTGTACCTTCTTCAATTCTAATATATCCTTTTTGAGATGAGGCGACTAGAACTGCATGTAGTATTCATGGTGTGGGCATAGCATGGATTTATATAGCAACGTGATGATATTTTCTGTTTTATTATCTATCCCTTTTCTAATGGTTGCTAACATTGTTAGCTTTTTTGACTGCTGTTGCACACTGAGTGGATGTTTTCAGAGAATTATCCACAATGACTCCAAGATCTCTTTCTTGAGAGGTAACAGCTAATTTAGACCTCATCATTTTGTATGTATAGGTGGGATTATGTTTTCCAATGTGCATTACTTTGCACTTATCAACACTGAATTTCATCTGCCATTTTGTTTCCCAGTCACCCGGTTTTGAGAGAACCCTTCGTAACTCTTTGCAGTCAGTTTGGACTTAACTATCTGGAGTAGTTTTGTATCATCTGCCAATTTTGTCACCTCACTGTTTACACCTTTTCCAGATCATTTATGAACATGTTGGACAGCACTGGTCCCAGTACAGACGCCTGGGAGAGTATGCTATTTAGCTCTCTCCATTTTGACAACTGACCTAACCTATCCTTTTGTTTCCTATCTTTTAACCAGTTACTGATCCATGAGAGGATCTTCCCTCTTATCCCATGACAGCTTGCTTAAGAGCCTTTGGTGAGGGACCTTGTCAAAGGCTTTCTAAGTACACTATATCCACTGGATCCCCCTTGTCCACATGCTTGTTAACATTCTCAAAGAATTCTAATAGATTGGTGAGACATGATTTCTCTGTGAGTCCTGGGATAAGCGAGCCAAAACTAAAGACCTGCCCCCTTTACTGAGGGGGTGGAACCACAAAGTGCAGGCCACAATTGAATTTGGGGATGACAAGTGCAAAATTAGGAATGGGAGTGTGAGTGACAGTTTGCACATCAGGTTTCCGGATAGGGGCACCAAGCAAAGCACCCCAGACAGTGCCCACTCTTCCTAAAAGGAGTCTAATGGCTGGTCTATACTAGAAAATTAAATCAACCCAGCTAAGTCGCTCAGGGGTGTGAAAAAGCCACACTCCAAGTGACACAGTTAAGCTGACCTAAATCCCCATGTAGACAGCACTAGGTCAATGGAAGACTTCTTCTGTTGACCTAGCTGCCGCCTCTTGGGGAAGTAGATTACCCATGCCGATGGGAGAACCCCTCCTGTAGGGATAGATAATGTCCACATTGAAGCACTGCAGCTGTACTGCTGTAGCATTTCAAGTGCAGAGAAGGCCCAGGAGTCACCGGACATTGCCCAGAGGAACTCTGCTCGGAGATGTGATATGACAAGGGAACGGAAACAGGTCCCACAGTCAGAGAGCACCTGCCATTGAGCTTTCTCCTGGTCTGGTGGCTGGCCACCTTGGCCAGTGCCAGGAGGAGGCTGACGAGGGAGTCTCGCAACTTGGTGGGCTCACGGATGGGGAGTGTGAGAATAAACAAGTGAGGGGAAAAGTGTAGCCAGAACCTCAGTTAACGGTTCTGGAGGAGCTGCAAGAGGGGCTGTAGCCGGACACCCTCGACATAGGTGTGCACCAGGTCTTTGTATCATCTAAAGAGTAAGTGCAGCCCTCCCTACTCCCTCTGAAAAACCCATCCCCCAATTTGTTCTGGCATGAAAGCTACAAAAGCATGGGTCTGGCACCTGACCCCTGTGCTGCATACGCTGCCTATTCCCTTGCTGTCCTGTGAACAAGTCTCCTTTCCTTGCACCTCCTTCAGGCTCCTCTACACAATGCCTCTGGTTCACTTCATTCCATGCACATGTTGCCCAGCTGTCAGGTTCCTTTCTCCCAAGAACATTCCTCAAAACCCTCCCAATGGTGGGTCATGACAGTGCTTAGGAGCTCTAGATACTACTGGTGGCTTTAGTTTCCTTTTGCCTCTTATAGAGCAGTGGCTCCCAGTGGAGGCTGCTGAGCTGGCTCCTCCACATCATTTCCTGTAACTTTTACAAGTAAGGATGGACCTGGGGAGATCTGGATACGTCATTGGAAGAAAGAAGGTGGCCGCAATAGTGTCAATTCAGATATTTCTTGTGGGGCAAATTTTGGTCCCCATCGCTCCCCAGCAAGGACTCCGTTCTGGTCCCTGCTCGTCCTCTCCCAGCCGCAGGGACCCCAGGTCTCCCTCAGCTGCAGAGCCTCCCTTCTCTCTTACCCCAACTGCGCATGAGTTGTCACTAGGAATCAAGTTCTGAGGAGAACGCCCCTGTGCTCCGCTGTACAGAAACAAACTGTGTGTGTGCCAGGCTGGAGCATCATTTGGCCTAACTGCCTCTCTGTCAAACATCAGTGGTGTTGTGACCACACAACTGCTCTGGACCATTCTGGTTGCAGCTGTGCTGGTTAAGTATGGGACCACTGTTTAAAAATGATCAGGCCAAGGCCCCCCTGGCTCTGTGACCTATGGAAGTTTAAGCAAGTGCAAAACTCTTGGGGATGGGGGTGCATTTGTCGCCCCACCTCCTCAGCCGGTGCCACTACAGCAGTATGATGTGACCTGTCACCTTTCCACAGACTACCAGCAGTCTCCCTGTAAGTTACCATAGAAATTTTTTTAAATTCATAGAGGATAGGTCCATCAATGGCTATTAATCAGGAGGGGCAGGGATGGCGTCTCTAGCCTCTGCCAGAAGCTGGGAATGGGCGACAGGGAATGGATCACACGATAATTACCTGTTCTGTTCATTCCCTCAGGGGCACCTGGCACTGGCCACTGTCAGAAGACAGGATACTGGGCTTGACGGACCTTTGGTCTGAGCCAGTCTGGCTGTTCTCATGTTCTTGTTTGGTTATGGGAACTTGGTGGGCCACTTGGAAACTTTGGGGTTATGACACGGGAGAGCAAAAGCACGAGATAGAAAATTAAACAGGTGATTGCTAACACACATTAAACAGAGCGCAGGCCAGCACAGCCCGGTGTGCCCGTGAACCTGACAGCAGCCTGTTGTGAGCTTAGTGACCAGATGTCCCTGTTCCATAGGGACAGTCCCGATATTCAGGGATTTCCAGCTATCGGGGCCGATTACCCCCCCGCGCACACACACACACACACACACACACACACACTCTGTCTCGCCTTTTCACACTTGCGACCGGCCCCCACCCCGTGTGTTCTGCCGCTGGGATCCCAGGGCAGCTCCCAACCCAGGCGCGTTATGTGGCGAGCTCCGGTTCTGTTGCACTCGGGGGGGGGGGGATGTTCCCAGCTGGGGTCTCACGCCCCGTGCCGGGGGCCCCGCCCTGCTTCCCACGGCAGAGCGGGACGCGCGAGGCCCACGTGGGACCCAGCCGCGGGCACCAGGCGCAGCCCCCGCGTCCAGCCCGCGCCTCCTGCCGGCCGCTGGGAGCCGCAGTGACTCCGAAGCGGCGCCACTCGCGTTCACACGCAGCCATGGCCGGCCCCGCCCCCCGCCAGCACCGGCCCATCCGGGGCTCTGGCCGTCACCTCAACTGAGCTCCGCCCCCGGCTCGACCAGCTCATCGCCAGGATTTCCCGTCCGTTTCCGGTACAAGCTCCGCCCGCTCACCCGCATTTCCGGCCCCCGAGCCCCGTTTCCGGTCCCGTCTCTCCATGGCCAATTCACCCTGCGCCCCGCTGGCTCCGGAGCCGACGGAACTGACTCGCCCTGGTCACGTGTCCGGAAGGAAGCCCCGCCCCGAATCATGTGACCCCCCCCCGGTGATCGGGCCCCGCCCCCCCTCGGACTCGCGCTCACCTGTCCTCAGCGCGCGCGAGGCGCGCCCTACTCTCTGTCACGTGCTGGATTGTCATGGCGACGGCTACGTGGGTCCGGAAATGCTGGCTTTGTTACCGGGTCAGATGTCAGGGTACTGTTTCCGGTTGTGCTCGCGATGCTGCGGGCGGCGCTGGGGAGCGCGCGGGTCCTCCTGCTACCTCGGCGGGGGGGCTCAGGGGCCCAGGTAAGGGAGGCGGCGCGGCTGCCCTCCCCCCCCACCCCGGGGCCCCGCGCCCCCACCCCCCGGGCCGCCCGGCTGCGCTCATCCCCGCCCGCACTGACCCCCCCTCTCCCCGCAGCGATGTCTCCGGTGGCGGCAGCCGCAGCAGCGGCGCGCGGGGTCGGAAGCCGCTGCCCGTCCCGGGGCGGTGGCCCCGCCTGTGCCCGGCTCCGCCGCGGAGCGGCTCGTGGGGCGCTGGCTCCTGGTGTGCAGCGGCGCGGTGGCCGGAGCTGTCGTGCTGGGGGGCGTGACCAGGTGAGAGCGGCTGGCGGCACTGCCTGTCCCTGGGCAGAGACCAGTGACCCCGCCCGGCCGGCGCCGCCCCGGGCCCTACACAGGCCCCGCCCGGCCGGCCCCGCCTCGGGCCCTACACAGACCCCGCCCCGGGCCCTACACAG